AGTATCTTTTATTTCTTAAAGTTTAAGCCAAATTTGGATAAATATGAGGTATACAATGTTTTTATTTAACTAAAACAATATGTTTCTCCTTGGCATGCTTCCCCTTTTATCCCCTCAAAAATTTAAGCTGTTTTATAATATCTGTGCAGTTATAGCAAATTTGACCAATGATTTGACTTTTGTTTTCTCCGAAGTATGGGAATGACAGAGTCTAACATATTTCTTGGTATTTAGGTCTTTGTTTTCTAGAATGAGTTTGATTATATTTTCATTCTGTGAATTTCTCTAGAGAGTATGACACTTCCCACCCTTGCCACTAATGTAAACAAATCTGGGTTTGTGAAAAATTTCCTCTTCTGTTTAGTCACTTCATTATTTTCGTGATGTTTGTTGTTTGTATTTCCATGTAGTTGAGGATTTCATCAGTGGGTATTTTGACAGCAAGCATAAAATGTGGTATATGTGTATATATGTGTATTTTTGTATGCCTATTCAGCATACTGAACATGCAAATATTCAATAATATTTCAACTTTATTTATTATATTTTGTTTACTACATTATGGCATACCACATATAAGTCAACTTTTAATCCTATGGTTAATATTTCAAAAGTCTTACAAGTTAGTTATTTAATACTTTCTACTAACGTTTTTAAATCCTGTCTATCCAGAGATCTGAGGTATAGATATTATGTTTATGTTTCAGATACTTAAAACCTTTTGTTTAATAACCGCTCAAAGTTTTGGAAACATCAGGTGGAATGGCCTTGAATAATATACCTGAGTCCTAGGAATCTGAGATGAAAACTTAGGGTTCAATGATAAAACACTCTTTCTTCTACAGAAAGCTTTGTGTGAGGATGAGTTTATAGACATTTGTTGTATTTCTGAATGAAATCATATGTATAAATAGTGTCAGTTAAAACTCCTGTCCTGGAATGATTTCAAACGAGATGGTGCTTTTTCTTTGCAATCTGTATGCCCTTGGACATGTCTCTTAACCACTTTAACCTTAGTTTCTCATCTAAAAGTGGAGTTAATACTACTTTTTACCTCAAAGCAAAATGATTGCTTTCAGGTCTATGTGAAGCCCACAACCTTCATGACAGGAAAGTCAAAGAGACTGACAGGCTGCATATGCCAGCTTTCCCTAGAAATGTTAAGAAAGTAATCACAAAGTCTAAAAAATAGGACAGGTAACAGATTTTTGTTGCTCTTCCATTTGCTCCTCAAGCTGAGAAGCAAGATGGGAACAGACAGGATCAACAAGCTTCCTCTAGGGGCAGAAAAGAGAAGACATTCGCTCCTATTTCACAATGGATTGACAAAGGTGTTTCCATAGGTAATCATGTTTTGGCTGAGGACTGTCAGCACAGGAAGCAACGCAGTGGGATTGGCAAAAGAAGAAAAAGGATGATAATTATGTATTTGAAATTGTCTGAATATCAACAAAGGCAGGAAAAATTTGGTCTATAACATACCTACAATTGTTTTATTCTTATTTAATCTGCTGTGTGTGAAAGGATGTGACAACCTCCAATTGTCACAGAAAACCGTGTTTTACTTCAGTATCTTGGATGATGAGTTCTATATCTAGCACAGATATATACATCATAGAATTAAAAAATATTTAGCTAAGTGAATGAGAATTAACTTATTGATATTACTTATAATATCTGTCAAAATACATTTTGGACAGATTATGTCGTTGTTAAATAACATAAGTAGTTAAATAGCTGGAAAAAGATTTCTGAACTTCTAGAGTAGTGTTTGCAAAACAAACTCTCAATAAATGCCTGTTGAGTAAATGAAAGTGGGATCTTCTATTTGCATATATTGTTGAAATATAATTTAAGGGGAAATGCATAAAATAATGGCCAACCCAAGAGATATTTTTTGCTAGGAAATTCTGTAATCTTGAGGTGCTCGTACACGAAATAAACATTTATTCCCTATGAATTCTTAATTTAGTATCTTATATAGGTTTTAAATTAATGTGAAAGTACCTTCAATTCTGCATATAGGGATGAAAAGCCATCATATGCAGTGTGAAATTACTGAAGAAAATTCAGAGGCCTAGAATACAGTGGAGCTAGCTGCATTCCTGTAGGTGTTTAATCAAGATTGTAGAATAAACACAAATAAATTGAGAACTGGAAAGTTTAGAGTAAATAAAGAATTCTGTTAATACAGCTAATTCTGTGAATATGTTTTCAACATGTCAAAAGTAAAATGTGCAAAAAGAAATTTAATTTGGCTAAAGATAATATTGTTTGACTCTATTAAATATTTATATGCACTCAGCAGTTTTGACTCACAAAAAATCCACAAATTTAAAGCTGACCATTCTTCTATTTTATGAGATTAAGAATAACACGAGTACTGTGTATTACTCATAACTACTTGAGACACATTCTGGCTAATTTCTAAGGAATTTTTTTAAAAAAAGATGAAACTTTGTGATTGCAAATATATTCATAATCTTGTTCAATCAGCAGTTTTGCTGCTAGTAATGTTCAGATCCTCACAACAAGTCTACTTAGAATTGCAGGAGTGCAACAGAGCTTATTGGTTATTTTTAATTTTTTAACAACTTTCTTTTAAAAATGTGGCATTCAGCTAATTATATGACTAAAAATCTGACTCAACCACAGAGTCATTAATTTACCCACAACATGTGGACATGGTATTACTCATCTTTCCAGGGAAAATGTATATGTAGTCTTCACCAGGAAAATGAACAAGCTGGACTCCTAAAGACAGAAAGGGTTACATTTTATGAAGTGTTTTCTGTCTTGTTGTTTTCAGTATCTAAGTTACTATGCCTGACAAAGTCTGATTGGGCTCTGCTCTGATCCTCAAGGCTCTGCATGTGGATTTGTTACTCTGTGATCTCCAGTTACTCTTTTAGTTAGAACCATAATCATTTAGCATTTATCAATTAAATAAAATATGTCGGTTGGTTTCCTAGCTCAATCCTATTCTCCAGAAATATTCTTATTCCATTAGCTTTCTTTTACTTTCAACGTGGAAAGCATTCATCTTTCAACCTTCAGCTTTAATTGATGAGCATCTTACCACCACTTGAGAGATTCATGGCCAGAAAATCAAGAGTGGGTATTGGCAAATATGGATACAGGGAGGGGTGTTTAAATATGTGGCAAGAAACAGTATAGAGTAATTGAGTGATATTTTTTCCTGAAAGGATAATTCAGCAGAATGTATCATTTTTATTCCCTTTAATTGGGTTGGTTTTTATAGTGAAAATAAAGTATAAACCTTGTTTTTCTACAATGGGAATTCTCTAAAAAGAAATTACTGAGGATTTGTTGTAATGGAAAAATACATCTGAAGCCATTGCCCCAACAGGAACATGTTAACTGCAATGGTACAAGTGTTCTCTCTACTTTACTGAAAGAAATGTTAGTAATAATGATGTCCAGAAGACATTTTTCCCCAGAGTATCCAAATTCAAGTTATAATTAGCTTAATTAAGATTTTAGATTACTTTTAATATTTGTATAAAGCACATTTTAGAACGATCAAGGTCTTGGTCTGTCATGAGTTCCACAAGAAGATGTTCACTTTGACAAGTATTCACAGGCAGCAAAGCTTTTTCTGGGTTGTGCTGTTTGTAATATTCTTGCCATAATGAGAATGAATAATATCTAATCATAATTAGTGCTTTGAATCATGAGTAGAAACAAATAAATACTCTGTCATATAACATAGTGGGTATAATTAAAGATATCTAAATTGAAAAGATGATAATCTTTAATCTGTACTTTCTAAATAATATTATTGTGTTAATGTTTTTTGCTCATTAGCTCACCCTAGATAACAGAGTTTGAGATGAAGTATATTTGTTGTTATAGCTAAATATTGTCAGAGACCTAGGAAGTAATAAGATATATTAATTAAGAGAGATAAGGAATGATATATAGGATGGTATTTTTAACATCAGAACACAGTTTACATTTTAATTAAAATGTAACTTGTTTAATAATTTAATGTGACAAAATACACAATGAAGAGAAATCTAGGGAACTTTCATAATGTAGCCAAACATGCGAAAATGCAAAAAAAGAATATCTATGCATCTTCCCTCCCCTTGAAATGTTGATGAAAGTATTAAAAATAGTTTCATATTTTCATCAAGGGTTAGATTGAATAGCTTTAAACAACTTTTTCTAATACAATAAACTCTTGTATTAGTGGAGAAAACAGGACAATATATTCTGTTTCTTCTCTACATATATTCCCCAGGGATGCATATGGCTGAAAAGGGAAAACAGATATTTTGAGTATGTCCTCAAAATAAACAGAAAGAATGATATTTGATCTTCTAGTAAGTGCTTTTCAGTATTACTTAAAATCCCAGAAAGTCATATTAAATATGATATCTCCACTTTTCTTATTTTTCTTCTCCATTTAGATCTAGAGAAAGCAATTGTAAATATATTTGTGTAAAACACTATAAGGAATTGCACTTTTCCCCTAACCTCAGAGTATAAGTAAAGCCAACTTTATTTCCTTACACTTACAAAGTTGTTGAAATGACTTAAACTTTACAAGTGCTGCAGATTGGAATGTCCAGTCCAATGTGTTTTACTTACTTATAGAGCAGCATGTGGTTTAAATTGCCTACTGAATGGCAAAAGAATTCTTGTGAATTAACTATCATAAATTCTTTGATTACAAATTCATATTGTGTGGTTTTATGAAGATAACAGCAAAGGGTATTCTTAGACAACAGGTTGAATTCATATAAGTGGCATTTTGAGCCCTGTACTGGGAGTGTACATTTTTGTTGCAAGCAGTATTCCTGTACATGTGGTGACTTATTGAAATGTAATCTTACCAAGTATATGATCTTTTGGTTTTCTTTTCATCTAGTTAAAAAAAAATGCTCATTTCCCGTTCTTTTTCTCATGAACACCATCTTACTAGTGAATATTTCTTTTTTTTTCATTTGTCCCATTAATTTTTTCCTCTTCAGGTGCAATCTAGCTCCTGTGGTGGAGTTTGCTGCAGATGTGGGAACTAAATCAGATTTTATTACCATGAATCCATCAGTTGTACAAAGAGCATTTGGAGGCTTTCGAAATGAGAGTGACAGAGAAAAATTTGTGCATAGACTTTCCATGCTGAATGACAGTGTCCTTTGGATTCCTGCTTTCATGGTTAAAGGAGGAGAGAAGCACGTGGAGTGGGTTAATGCATTAATCCTTAAGAATAAACTGAAAGTGCGAACTGCCTATCCATCATTGAGACTTATTCATGCTGTCAGAGGGTAAGTGACTGGAAAGGACCAGTCTGTCCTTGGCACAGTGGAACACATATAACTAAACATTTTCCCTGGACAGGAAGAAGCTTCAGTAAAATCTCCAAATGGATATATGTTGTCATTATTTTATAATGGTTACTCTATTTACAAACTTGAAGGTTGTTTATGTACAGTATGATTTTAACTCATCCTCTTTTTTGAAAAAGCAAATTGTTGAACTTGGCACTTATTTATGTCTGCTCATGACCAGACTACTAATTTTTATAGTTTTTGCACTAAAAACTAATAAGAGTTCATAGTAAAATTAATGAGTTTTGGGTAAAGAACTACAACAGAAGTGCTGAATGGCTAGTGGGCAATATTGTATAAGCATAAATGTTAAATATATTTAAGGAGCAATTAAGTCCCATCTGTAGCCAAGAGGCCTATAGTGAGAAAGGCATCTGGCTGAGATAAAAATGTTTTAATGCTTCCCCCCAAAGTCACAGACATTGTTTTAATGAATTAAGCCAGTATTTCCCTTTTATTAACACAAGCTCGGGAAAAAAAGATTAAGATACAAACTCTTGCTTAAGAGTAGAAAATGACCAAAAGATTAATTCACTCATGCACACACATAAGTGTATAAAGTAGATAAATCAAAGATGAACAATTATGTATTTTTACTGGAAGTGTACTGAGTGTCAGATACTGTAGCTGCAAAAATGAAAATCTGATCACTACCCTTAAAAAATGCATAGGCTTTATGGTAGAAACAGAGGCACATACAATTCACTTAGTAGCATAATAGAGGAATATATTGTCAGGGATGTATAATTTGTCCCTTAGGTTCACAAAGAAACTGGGAAAGTGGACCAAACATTTGAATTGAACTTTAAAAACAGAATAGCAATTGCCAGGGGATAAAAGAAAGAGAATAAGAAAACCAAAGAGAAGGAAATGCTGTTGCATTATGAGAGGGTGCCAGGGCAAGGAAATGAAGTGCACAGTAAAAGTATGGAATAATGGAATCTGTTGTGGAACCTGGAATACAAAACTGGAAAAGTAACTTGGGATGTGATTGACAAGGGAACTGAGTTTATGCTGTATGAAGCACAGTTAGAGGTCTGAATTTAAGAACAAATCTTATAACTGCAGACATTTATTTTACAAGGACAAGAAACTGCTAGAAGCATAAAAACCAATTAGGCTTTTGATTAATTTATTCATAAGATAATAAGGATGTAGGACAGAAGCAGTGGACTTAAGAAGAAAGGGCAAGTTCAGGGGGCCAATTAAATACAATGGTTACAAGTCCTGAAAAAAAAAAAAAAAAAAAAGCAGGTTTCCAAGCCCAGACTTAAAAATAGTTTTGTGTACTGTAATAGGAACTGGACTAAGGTGTTTTTGTTTTGTTCCTGAGATATTTCCTGCAAGGATTTACCATTTCCTGTTTAGATATCCAGATAGTTTCCTGTATTGTATTATTCGGCACACAATTAAATTGCGTTCTTATAATTAGATCATGGTTATTCAACACACATTCTCTTGGTGTTTGACAGGAAGTTTCAGCAAAATAAGATAAAAATACATACATTTGGAGGATAAGCAACTATTTTTTTTAAGTTACAGATATCCCTGGTAATTACAATTTGACTGTTAAAAAAAAAAATCTTAAGAAAGAGTAACTTTTACAGTGCATCGTGTTAAGAATATGTCTGTTTTTGTCTGGGTATCTGTTTAAGTTACAGATTTCCCTAGTAATTACAATTTGAGTGTTAAAAAAAATTAGGAAAGAGTAACTTTATAGTGTATTGTGTTAAGAACATGTCTATTTTTGTCTGTTTGGGTATCATCTTATTCTAAAAAATATCTTAAAAAGATAACTTGTCCATCTTACACTCTCTCTCTCTCTCTCTCTCTCTCTCTCTCTCTCTCTCTCTCTCTCTCTCTCTCTCTCTCTCTCTCTCTCCAGTGATAGTATAGCAGATTAAACTTTAGAAAGAAATACTCTGAAGCAAGTACTTCCTGACTATGGAAAACTAATGAGAAAATTTAAGATTACTCTGAATTAGTATCTTTGTTTCCTAGATTTTGGTTTATATTTCTCAATCCAATACCAAAACCAAAGCATGAATAAAAGGAGTGACTGTAATAGTGCATTTTCAATTAGTTAGAATCCCAATAGTATTATATATGACTAACAGTAAATACACATGGGTTTTACAGATATTTTAAACATAAAAATTGCAGATAATTTTAGTAATTTAACAAGACTTGTATGTTTTGTCCTATTCACTTTTAGTTTATAACCATTATAAATGTAAACTACTTCACTACTTCCTAAGCATTTTATTCCAAAGAGCAACAAGGCCCAACTTCTGACCACTGGTGAAAGGAATGGTATGGTTTCTTTAGTTACTGTGAGTTAGATATATGTGCTAAACTGATTTGGAATTCTGTAGAAATAACTTCCCTCTTCATCTTCCTCCTCATACATCTACATATATCCCTTTAAAGTGTCAAGACATCGAGTTCTAAACCGTGGCTAAGGCTAATAAAAGTAGCTCTAGAGAGGCTTGCCATTTTTTAAATAGAATGGAAATTCATACAGGTGGTATGTGCAAAAGGAAACTTCATTATGGATTTTATTGAAACTAACACATTGATGCATGCAATATAGCATTTTGACATAATGTGTGCACTTGCTGCTGGAACTCTAAATGAAAATAAGGAAGTGTGAGCACTGATGAAACAAAAATAATTTATGTGATATGAAAGCAAGGGCAAACTCCCCAAAGAATTATTCTTTAAGTAACTGTTTTACATCTCCTTTGACTTACCTCTCTGAAACCTCGTGGTTAATACAGTTCAGCAAAATAAGATGTTTTATATACTCTGCTGATTACTGGAGTTTGTTGACTCTCATATACGATTAAAACATCCAAGACACAGATTTTAGGGTGGGTATAATCATAATGTTAAAATGTGAAGGCTCTTCCAAGTACTGCAATTACAAATGGAAAGTTTAAGTGATTTGTAAAACGAGATTCCTGAGCACAATGAGGACCAATTAGATAGTTTTCATATGGTCAGACTTCATTACTTAAACATTTTCCCCTCTAAAAATTGTGATTCCTTATGAAGTTTAAAAGCCTATTTAATTTTGGATTTTTTTAAAAGCTCTTAAAATGAAACCACTAGTCAAAAAATTCAAATACTCTTAGGTATTGTTTTAATGTATTGTCATTCTTCTGAAACCATATTCAGTGAAACAGAAGGAAAAAATATACAGGTAGATTCATAGTTTAAAAAGAATCTTGCAAAATAGTAAAAGAGTAATGGGAACAAATCAAATATACAAATTACAAGTTTAAGAGAATATATGCAAGCAAAAAATTGGTGTGGGATTGCCACTTTTTTATTGGTATTTTTTCAGAAGCCCCACATGGTCTGCATTTTTCAAATTATCATTTTGTATATTTTTAAACAAAGAATAGAGCAAAATAAATGTCTGTGCAGTGAGTGGCTCATGCCTGTAATCCCAACACTTTGGGAGGCCAAGGGTGGGTGGATCACTTGAAGTCAGAAGTTCGAGACCAGCCTGGCCCACATGGTGAAACCCTTTCTCTACTAAAAATACAAAAACTAGACAGGTGTGGTATGCACACCTGTAGTCCCTGCTACTTGGGAGGCTGAAGCAGGAGAATCACTTGAACCCAGAGAAGCTGAGGTTGCTGTGACCCAAATTTGTTTTAAGTAATTTCATTTCCTGTTTGGTAAATTGGTACTGTTTTACATTATTACTTTTAGTGACTAAATAACTTTTGAATTATTTCCTCACTCATAATATAACAGTGCAATTCGTTTACATACTTTATATTCAGTGTCTTTTTTGCCTCATTGTTTTTATTAAATAAAATTACAGTGAACAAGAAGATATCACTTAATGTACCCTCCCAGGACTCCCAAGGTTTTGCTAGAACATTGATATTTTATTTTGGCATACCTTCCCAAAGTATCTCTGTCCTTACTTTATAGCACAATGACCAATACCATAATTCTTAGCTAAATGTAAGAGGGAAAAATATGTCTTATAGATATAAAATCAAGTTACATATCTAGCTAAATTCTCATCTTGGTAGTTTTCTCTCTGTTGAAAAATATTTAATGGTTATTAAAAGAGAAAGCACTCATTAGTTGCTTTGGTAGAATATATTTTCTTATTTTTTCTAACAAATAAACAAATTCTATGTTCACACATGATTGATCAACTTTTCTTCAGTGTTAACACTAACACAAAAATACTGTTTCTCAGATATTAGTTGCTGCACTCATCTTTCAGATGTAAAATTCCATTTAAATTAATGTAAATGTAAACTTCTATATAGAATGTACATGATCTTCTGCAGCCTAACTTCATATGAATGTCATGGGTTTGCAGAAGAATTTGAATCAAGCCAGGCTCCCAATAGTCTTTAGCAAAACTATAGGCTAAAATACATTCTCAGTAGATCTCAGGAAATTGAGTTTATTAGTCATTCAAATAGATTGTTTTGGAGCATTCAATCAACTCAAGTCACATAAGGAAAAGCAATTTTAAAAACAACTTTGTAAAGAGAAATATTCACTCTAAGTGCTTTCTGAAAATGACTTACTTGTTTTAAAATTAGTCTTATGCTAAAAATATTTCCATATGGTTTCTATTTTGACCTATGAGCAACACAGCTGTAATATTTCCTTACAAAACATAAGTCCTAGTTTAATGTTTTTGAGTAGCTAGACACTACGTATTAGGTATTTTAAACCAAAGGAGATTTCCATGGAAGGATATTTCTTTCCTTACTGGTGGACTCTGGTATGCACACTTCTGGAACTTCAGTGTTTCCTGATATTTTAATCTGGTTACCCTTCAGTCACAGTGTTATTTCCTATCAGGTCCCATTATTCATATTGCATTGTAGAATGTGGAAATGTAAATAGTTTATATCTGAGAAGATATTCACAATTGTGCGGCTCAAACTAGA